AAAAGAAACTCAAGACAATAATAAAACTACATGAGTGGAACTGGTTGATCCCATTCTTGATAACTAAATAGATTGTGTTGGTATTGTATCCTCAAAGCAGCCAGACTAAATTCCACAGAAGGGCTAGTGATAGCAGCTTTTTAGCACCTGCTGTGCAGATCTAGAAAATGCATTCTATCAGGACTGATAGGTTAAGCATCTAAAGTTCTTATGATGAACACTACATCTTGAAAAGGCCTTAGAGTTCAAGGACATCTACTTCATTGAAATACTGAATGAATCCAATTCTTCTTGGCATATATACACATCTAGATTTATTTAAGAGGGGGAAATATACAGGTGCAGTATCCTTTGCTATGTTTGTGATCAGAAATGTTTTAGATTTCAGATTTTGGCATATATGCATATACATAATAGGATATTTTGGAGCTTGGATCCATGTCTAAACACAAAATCATTTAAGTTTCATATACGTTATGCACATAGCCCAAAGTTAATTTTATATGCAACATTTTAAACGAATTTCTGCATGAAACAAATTGTGTGCACATTGAACCATCAGAAAGTAAAGATGTCACCATCCCAGACACCCAGATGTACAATTTTGGAACACCTCAAGCCTCAGATTTCTGGATACGAGGTATTCAATTTATACAGCATTTGAAAAAGAACAGAACAAAACAGTCTCAGTAGTTTAAAAAGCACAAAAAAATAAAACCAGATACAACATGACCAATCAATAAAACAATAATTGCATAGTTGTTGAAGGCTTTCATGGCCGGAATCACTGGGTTGTTGTAGGTTTTTTTCGAGCTATATGGCCATGTTCTAGAGCAGTGGTTCTCAAACTGCGGTCCCCAGATGTTTTTGGCCTACAACTCCCAGAAATCCTAACAGCTGGTAAACTAGCTGGGATTTCTGGGAGTTGTAGGTCAAAAACACCTGGGGATCCCAGGTTGAGAACCACTGTTCTAGAGGCATTCTCTCCTGACGTATTGCCTGCATCTATGGCAAGCATCCTCAGAGGTAGTGAGGTCTGTTGGAACTAGGAAAATGGGTTTATATATCTGTGGAATGACCAGGGTGGGGCAAAGAATTCTTGTCTCTTGGAGCTTGGTGTGAATATTTCAACTGACCACCTTGATTAGCATTTGATGGCCTGGCAGTGCCTGGGGCAATCTTTTGTTGAGAGGTGATTAGATGTCCTTGATTGTTTCCTCTCTGTTGTTTTGTTGTTGTAATTTTAGAGTTTTTTTGATACTGGGAGCCAGATTTTGTTCATTTTCATGGTTTCCTCCTGTCTGCTGAAGTTGTCCACATGCTTGTGGATTTCAATGGCTTCTCTGTGTAGTCTGACATGGTGGTTGTGAGAGTGGTCCAGCATTTCTGTGTTCTCAAATAATACGCTGTGTCCAGGTTGGTTCATCAGGTGCTCTGCTATGGCTGATTTCTCTGGTTGAAGTAGTCTGCAGTGCCTTTCATGATTCGGGTTTGGGCAATGCTGTGTTTGGTGGTCCCTATGTAGACTTGTCTACAGCTGCATGGTACACGGTAGACTCCTGCAGAAGTGAGGGGATCCCTCTTGTCCTTTGCTGAACGTAGCATTTGTTGGAATTTCTTGGTGGATCTGTATAGATAGTTTGTATGCTGTGTTTCCTTATCAGCTTCCCTATGCGGTCAGTGGTTCCCTTGATGTATGGCAAGAACACTTTTCCTCTTGGGGGATCATTGTCTTGACTCTCGTGGCTCGTTCTCGGTCTTGCAGCTCTTCCAATGTCTGAAATGGAGTATCCGTTGGCCTGTAAAGCCCAGTTTAGGTGGTTCAGTTCATTTTGGAGGAGGTGGGGTTCGCAGATTCTTTTTGCATGGTCTGTCAAGGCTTTAATTGTGCTTCTATTTTGACTTGGGTGATGGTTGGAGGAAACCATGAAAATGAACAAAATCTGGCTACCAGTATTAAAAAACTCTAAAATTACAACAGTCAAACAACAGAGAGGAAACAATCAGGGACATCTAATCACCTCTCAACAAAAGATTGCCACAGGCACTGCCAGGCCATCAAATGCTAATCAAGGTGGTCAGTTGAAACATTCACACATAGCTCCAACAGACAAAAGTCCTTTGTCCCACCCTGGTCATTCCACAGATATATAAACCCATTTTCCTACTTCCAACAGACCTCACTACCGCTGAGGATGCTTGCCATAGATGCAGGCGAAACGTCAGGAGAGAATGCCTCTAGAACATGGCCATATAGCCTGAAAAAACTTACAACAACCTAATAGCATAGTTGTTTCCTTTACTGAAATAGTTTGGGGTGACTTCCAAGGTTAATTAACCGACCAACACAAATTTTGGTGCCTCGAGTGTTTCTGGATATATTTGATATACTGATTCTAAAAATGGCACCTGTTTTCCCCTATCAGCTCTATTTTTGAGATACAGAACATATGTCATCTGCCAGTCACCATCTGCTCACCAACAAAAAATCATTATAATCATATCTAAGAATCTAGAGCTCATGCAGTCTATCCAATGCAATTTTCTAAATCAGCGCCCCAAATAACCCCAGGAACGGGCCTAAAAACCAAGACACCAAGAAAAAAAATGTTTGCTATGTTATCACAGATTAAGGAAACATATCTAACAGATCTCATTCTTTGCTAAATGTTCAAACAGAGTTCTAAGTTCAAAAAAGAAGGTGCAAGCTCTTCTACCTGCCTGCATATATTCCCATTTTTAAAAATAAAATCACAATTCAGTTTGGAAACTGGATGAAATGGATTTATGATGAGTGAAGAGATGCAAGAATGGCATAGATCTTTGTCTCCACAATGGCAAGTCTCACCTACGTTATTATCTATCTTTCTAATAATATGGAAGATCTAAACATTCAGGGCAGTAACTGTACAGACAATGCAACAGATACCAAACTTGGTCAAAGACTAAGGGACAGAAATGTGTTATGGAATAAATGAAATAACAAAAGCTTCCTCCTGTGGTGAACAAACAAACAAAAAAGGGGGAATTAAAAACCCTAATCATTTTTTAACTTTAAATATGTTCCCTACTCTGAATCACACAACTAGTTTATCTAAGCCCGATCAATCTTCCCAAATAAGTTGTCCTCCAGATGCGTTGGACTATATCGCCCATCACTATCTTCCAGTTTGGGGAGATGTTTGGTTTAACTGTGATTGAACTCTAGGGTTTATACAAAGTAAGTGTTTTCCACTGAGCTATCTTTACGTTAATATACTAGAGGAAGAGGAGGGAATGAAATGAAAGAAAAGAAGAGAGGGATCCACCATGTTTCAGTGAAACTACCTGTGTGTCTTTATCTATATAAATAAAAATGTAATGTTCTGTCGAAGGCTTTCATGGCTGGAATCACTAGGTTCTTGTGGGTTTTTTCGGGCTATAGAGCCATGTTCTAGAGGCCTCTAGAACATGGCTCTATAGCCCGAAAAAACCCACAAGAACCTAATGTAATGTTCGTTTGTGGGATTAACAGAACTCAAAACCACTGGGTGAATTGACACCAAATTTGGACACAGGACACCAGCCAAAGCAATCTATGTCCTTCACTCAAAAAAATCCCTCCCAAAAAGCGATAAGACCTTTAAAGTTTTAAAAAGGGAAAAGAGAACACAGCGCATGCGTGCAAACCCATTCTCTTCCCCACACCTCTGCCACACAGGCACAGCCTGCCAAAGTGGAGTATCTTACAGTGACAAATGCAAGATACTCCACTTTGGCAGGAAAAACGAAATGCAAAGATACAGAATGGGGGACAATGCCTGTCTCGAGAGCAGTACATGTGAAAAAGATCTTGGAGTCCTCGTGGACAACAAGTTAAACATGAGCCAACAATGTGATGTGGCGGCAAAAAAGCCAATGGGATTTTGGCCTGCATCAATAGGAGCATAGTGTCTAGATCTAGGGAAGTAATGCTACCCCTCTATTCCGCTTTGGTTAGACCACACCTGGAATATTGTGTCCAATTCTGGGCACCACAATTCAAGAGAGATATTGACAAGCTGGAATGTGTCCAGAGGAGGTCAACTAAAATGATCAAGGGTCTGGAGAACAAGCCCTATGAGGAGCGGCTTAAGGAGCTGGGCATGTTTAGCCTGAAGAAGAGAAGGCTGAGAGGAGATATGATAGCCATGTATAAATATGTGAGAGGAAGCCACAGGGAGGAGGAAGCAAGCTTGTTTTCTGCTTCCCTGGAGACTAGGATGCGGAACAATGGCTTCAAACTACAAGAGAGGAGATTCCATCTGAACATGAGGAAGAACTCAGTAAATTCCCAACCCAGGCATCTCTATATTTGTTTTTTATCTCTAGAATGCTATCTTCCTTGGAAATTGCTGAAGGCTGTTTGAAATACTGATTACAAACTTTCCTAACATGGTACCATCAGGATGCATTGAACTATATGACCATGCAAGGCGAGGAATGTTGGGCATCGTAGTTCGGCACACCTGGGAGGCATCAGGTTGAAGAAGCTTTATTAGAATAATTAACTGATTTTCATGTTTTAGATCAGGGGTCCACAAACTTTTTAAAGAGAGGGCCAGGTCACAGTCCCTCAAACTGTTGGAGGGCCGGATTATAATTTGAAAAAAAAATAAATTCCTATGCACACTGCACATATCTTATTTGTAGTGCAAAAACACTTAAAACAATACAATTAAAATGAAAACTATTTTTAACAAATATAAACCTATTAGTATTTTAGTGGAAAGTGTGGGTCTGCTTTTGGCTGATGAAGTAGGGTTGTTGTTGTTGTTGTGTGCTTTCAAGTCGTTTCAGACATAGGTTGACCCTGAGTGGGGGGGCAGGTAAATGACCTTGGAGGGCCGCATCTGGCCCCCGGGCCTTAGTTTGAGGACCCCTGTTTTAGATGGATAATCTTCAGATGTTTGATGAGTGCTAAAGAAAACTATATGTAATGGATAACTTGAGATTTATCTGTCTTTTCAAGGCATACTTACAGGTCGTCCATGAATACTTTCAAAATAGAGTAGGCTTTTCTGGAGACTGAGTTTTTCCAAAGCCATTTGCCTTTTTGTCATAGCCTATTTAAAAAAATTATTTATAAAAAAAATTAAGTATCAAATTTTTGTCTCATAGATTAATATTTTTGCATTATATACATACAACTAGCACTCCCCCCATGCCCCCAAATCAATTTTCTAGTGGGTAGTTCATTCAATATAGTGAAAATAAAGAGCAAAAACAAACTTTAACAGATTTCAAGGAGGCAGAGTTGAACAGAAACTCAAAAAGGAAGCATTTTTCATTGTGCAATCTCTTATAACTAGCATGTAGTGGAAATATCTTTTTGTCATGTAAATATTGAGATAAACATCTTCCACTTCATAAATAGATGTGTGAGTGGGTTCTCAGGTCAGAAGTGATCTTTCAGAATTTGTGGGCTCACAATTTCCATTCTCCTTTTCTATTGACTGCACTGGGTAGGTTGTTGTAGGTTTTTTCGGGCTATATATGGCCATGGTCTAGAGGCATTCTCTCCTGACATTTCACCTGCATCTATGGCAAACATCCTCAGAGGTAGTGAGGTCTGTTGGAACTAGGAAAGGGGGTTTATATATCTGTGGAATGACCAGGGTGAGACAAAGGCCTCTTGTCTGCTGGAGCTACGTGTGAATGTTTCAACTGATCACCTTGATTAGCATATAATGTCCTGACAGGGCCTGGAACAAACTTTTGTTGAGAGGTGTTAGATGTCCCTGATTGTTTTCCCTCTACTGTTTTGCTGTTTTAATTTTAGAGTTTTTTAATACTGGTAGCCAAATTTTGTTCATTTTCATGGTTTCCTCCTTTCTGTTGAAATTGTCCACATGCTTGTGGATTTCAATGGCTTCTCTGTGTAGTCTGACATGGTAGTTGTGAGAGTGGTCCAGCATTTCTGTCGTTCTCAAATAAAATGCTGTGTCCAGGTTGGTTCATCAGGTGCTCTGCTATGACTGATTTCTCTGGTTGAAGTAGTCTGCAGTGCCTTTCATGTTCCTTGATTCGAGTTTGGGCAATGCTGCGTCTGATGGTCCCTATGTAGACTTGTCCACAGCTGCATGGTACACAGTAGACCAGGCCCGTAGCCAGGATTTCGATTCGAGGGGGGGTGAGTTTCGGGGGGGGGGGGGGGGGGGCTGAGTCTGAGTGAAAGAGGGTCTACCCTATCAAACCTTTTGTATCGTTACCCCAATACCCCCATGCATATGGGATATATTGAGTATGGTGATCAGATCATGATATGAATTAACACAGTTTAAATAATGCACCAAGAAGGCCTTTTAGCGAACCCCCAAGCCTCCCCCCCCCCCCACCCGGCTACATGCCTGCAGTAGACTCCTGCAGAAGTGAGGGGATCACTCTTGTCCTTTGCTGAACGTAGCATTTGTTGGATTTTTTTGGTGGGTCTGTAGCTAGTTTGTATGTTGTATTTCCTCATCAGCTTCCCTATGCGGTCAGTGGTTCCCTTGATGTATGGCAAGAACACTTTTCGTCTGGGTAGATCTTCATCTTGACTCTCGTGGCTTGTTCTCCGTCTTGCAGCTCTTCTGATGTCTGAGGTGGAGTATCCATTGGCCTGGAGAGCCAAGTTTAGGTGGTTCAGTGAAGAAGGTGGGCTTCGCAGATTCTTTTTGCACGGTCCTCCAAGGCTTTAATGGTGCTTCTTTTTTACTTCTTTACTTCAACCAGAGAAATCAGCCATAGCAGAGCACCTGATGAACCAACCTGGACACAGCATTTTATTTGAGAACACAGAAATGCTGGACCACTCTCACAACCACCATGTCAGACCACACAGAGAAGCCATTGAAATACAAAAGCACGTGGACAATATCAACAGAAAGGAGGAAACCATGAAAATGAACAAAATCTGGCTACCAGTATTAAAAAACTCTAAAATTGCAACAGCACAACAACAGAGAGGAAGCAGGCAGGGACATTGAATCACCTCTCAACAAAAGTTTGCTCCAGGCACTGTCAGGCCATTATATGCTAATCAAGGTGATCAGTTGAAACATTCACACCTAGCTCCAGCAGACAAGAGTCCTTTGTCTCACCCTGGTCATTCCACAGATATATAAACCCTGTTTCCTAGGTCCAACAGAACTCACTACCTCTGAGGATGCTTGCCATAGATGCAGGCGAAACGTCAGGAGAGAATGCCTCTAGACCATGTCCGTATAGCTCGAAAAAACCTACAACAACCCAGTGATTCCGGCCATGAAAGCCTTCAACAATACATTGCACTGTGTAGATTTGTTGTAAGTTACAGCCCAAGAACATATCTGGAGGACCACACCTGTCTTAAAGCGTATAAACAAGTATAAGTAATATCAATTTAATATTGAGTTTAACATCAAGAGATCATTTGGCCTAAAGCTATTTGGAATGTGCTTTAAAAAGAAATCACAGACATGAAAAAAGGAATTTGGAATTTTCTTCATTCAATACCAGAATGATTTGGGGGTGGAATGGAAAGTCTGATTTGGCATACCCATGTGCTTGCCTCTATACCTCTGTAAATACTTGTAATATCTATCTTCACATCTTTATCTTTCACATTCCACGAAAAAGGAATCAGGATCAATAGCACTGCTGATGATATTGAAATGGTAATGTATTTCTAATGTAGTTGTGAAAAAGGGATTTCCAGAAAACAATGCATCACTTGTAGAGCAGAGCTTGTTACCAATGGAAGAGTTTCCTGAACATCATTTGTTCTCTTACTGATTTTTTTTCATGATCCTTCTAGTGATTAAACAAAGTTACTTTGCTTTAATATGAAATTATGATTTAGGAACAAGGAGGCAGCTGGACTCCCAATTAATTTTATAATTTGAATTACTAATTACCTACTACATAAATAAGGGTTCTTAAAACATTAAAGGCCAGATGACTGTATCCCAACCTGATACCTTGGGACTATTAAATGATGAGCTTAATTACGGACATGGCAATCATGTCCACTGAAGGATAGCAATTAAGCCTGTCCGATCCATATACCTCAGAGACTGATTCAAGATACAATGGTGGATTCTGTTGACTTGAGAAGGAAGAGGTATTATTTATTTATTTATTTATTTATTTAGAGCTTTTATAACCCGGTCTTCTCAACCTCTGAAAAGGGACTCAGGCCGGCTAACTACAGAAAATTCATACACAAATAAGCTAAAACATAATAACATCGTAATACATTAATACATTAAAATACATTACAACACAGATCAAATAATTACATACAGCCAAATCGTCAAGGTAAAATCACAAATTCGCCAGTGTGGTCAGCCGTTATTGACTCGAACATCATTCTGAGAATGCTATATCCCAGAGCCAAGATTTTAGCAGCTTTCTGAAAGTCAGGAGGGAAAAGGCAAATCTAATCTCCATCGGGAAAGAGTTCCAGAGTCGAGGGGCCACCACCGAGAAGGCCCTGTCCCTCATCCCCACCAGACGGGATTGCAAAGGTGGTGGGACCGAGAGCAGGGCCCCTCCAGAAGATCTTAACAACCTTGATGTTTTGTAGGGGAGAATCCGTTCGGACAGGTAAACTGGGCCGGAGCCATTTAGGGATTTATAGGTCAACACCAGCACAAATATCCGCATAGTCAAAGCCATGGTATTCCCTGTAGTAACCTACGGATGTGAGAGCTGGACCTTAGGGAAGGCTGAGCGAAGGAAGATAGATGCTTTTGAACTGTGGTGTTGGAGGAAAGTTCTGAGAGTGCCTTGGACTGCGAGAAGATCCAACCAGTCCATCCTCCAGGAAATAAAGCCCAACTGCTCATTGGAGGGAAGGATACTAGAGACAAATTGAAGTACTTTGGCCATATCATGAGGAGACAGCAAAGCCTAGAGAAGACAATTATGCTGAGGAAAGTGGAAGGTAAAAGGAAGAGGGGCCGACCAAGGGAAAGATGGATGGATGGCATCCTTGAAGTGACTGGACTGACCTTGAAGAAGCTGGGGGTGGTGACGGCCGACAGGGAGCTCTGGCGTGGGCTGGTCCATGAGGTCATGAAGAGTCGGAGACGACTGAACGAATGAACAACAACCAGCACTTTGAATTGTGCTCGGAAGCTAATTAGCAGCCAGTGGAGCTGGCGCAACAGAGGAGTAGTATGCTTCCTGTACCCCGCTCCTGTTAGTAATCTGGCTGCCGTTCATTGGACTAATTGTAGATTCCGGGCAGTCTTCAGAGGCAACCCCACGTAGAGAGAGTTGCAGTAGTCTATACGGGATGTAACCAGAGAGTGGACCACCGTGGCCAAGTCAGACTTCCCAAGGTACGAGCACAGCTGGCGCACAAGTTTAAGTAGAAACTAAGTCCAAACTGTATAGAAGATGGCAAGCTGATTACAAAAAAAAATATCTGCAGATAGCAGCACAGTAATTTAATACAGGGATGTAGAGACTTGTCATTGAATTTTCATTCTCCTTGAGAAAAAGATACATGGAGACACCTTGCTAAGAAAATAGCAAGTTTTTTGGCATTTAAGGTCTTTGGCAGGAGAGGAGATAGGGGAGAATGTGATTTGGGGGGGCGGGGGGTAGAAAAGGAAGCTTTGCACCAAAAATTGTATTTTGCACACAAGACATTGGCCACAATTCTGGATCACCTACTTAGCCACATAACCACTTTAGTTGTATAGCTAAACTGTGTCTCTTGACCCAACCAACCCCAGCCTCACTTAGTAGGCAGCAACCATGATGATCAACATGAGTCTTTTCTTTGTCAGCCAGAAAGCATTCCAAATTCCCTCCCATGAGTGATATGCAGTATGACAGTTAGAAAATTACTCATGGGATAGGGATGTTAATGCCAGCAGAAGACCTGCGAAAGGTTCCCCAACCCTTCCCTAAACTGAGTGCAGTGCATCTTTTTACCTAAATCTCTTGATTCTTGGATAGAGCTTTGCACATAAAACAGGAAACAAAATGCTCACTTTAATATGATTTCAAGCTGTTAACAGCCACAATAAGATGGTTGAAAGGAACATTCCTGTATACATGTTCACACATCTTGTGTCACATGCAGGCCCGT